AATGCAGAAATCTTTCCAGCTAGAGCAGCAGAGTCAAACTCATTTTAGCTTTGGACCAAATCCAGATCATGAATGCTCTTAAAGGGCCAGTTATGTATTGATAAAACCTGATCACAAACTGTTAAAATATCAATGAATTGTTAAAATTAAATAATGTAATTGAACATCTTTTTAGCTGCACTGTGCAGAATCTCTGTCTGCACTTATGAAATTTCTCTCATCTTACCATGCAGGATAATTGAAGTGACTGAAGACAGTCTCTTCTATTTCTGCATGAATTAAGGTTATATTTATTTTTGACCACTTTGGGACAGTCACCACCGTGTTATGGAGTATTAATCTTCATATGTTTGTGTTCGCTCACTGACACGATGATGCACTGTAAAGTTTAAACCCTTCGTAAACCACATATACACACACTATATAAAATAAGATACTTAAAAAGCAACTCTTCATAGATTCGACAAGGCGTGATACTTCCTAAAATACACGCCCATCTCGCACGTTCAAGTCTGCGAATATTTTGTTACCAGTTTTTTGCAGTGAGAAAACATAAGCTGAATGAGTGTGGAAGCAGCTTCTGATCGCTTGCGGCTGATTTTTTTTATTTTTTTTGCCTTCTGTGCTTCTTCATGTCTCTCCAGCTGATCCACAGAGTCAACAGGTCAACCGCTACTGCTTGCTCCTATTTACAGGCGGTACCTTGTCCAAACTCCCTCCTCAGCAGAGATGATTGAGAACGTCCCAGCGCAGCAAAAGGGGAAACAAATCCATCTGTTATTGTGGGTGTCTTTGTTGGAGTTGGACGTTCCTCTGGGACAGAGCGAGCTGATGTCCACTTGAAGCCCGAGGACGCCGACGTTTTCTCATGCCGATATTACGCTAACACGAGTTTTGTTGGATATGCAGATCTGTGATTTTTTTTTTTTTTTTTTTTTCCGCCTTTGCTATGAACAAAGCTCAAGGACGGGGGCGGCTTTAGGTGGAAAGTGGAAAATCAAAATGAAAGGCCAGAGAGCGGACGTTAAGCTGACCCGCTGTGATATTGCTTCCCTTGTTTAGCATCAAGCTTCTGTCTTGCCCTGAGTCTGATGAGTCGTGGCTGATTTCATTCACACCCTTCATTAGTTTCCGCGCTGCAGTCGGGCCGCAGATTTAATTATTGATGCAGCCTTTGTCAGAACGGAGGGATTATCAGTGAGCGAGCTCCAGAGCTGCGGCTGCGTGGGCCACTCGTCGCAGCATGGCCAAGCAGCTGGGAAGAAATAACTTTGATCTGCATGTGCAGAAGTAACACCTTTAAAAGAGGAATTATAAGCTGTACATTGTTTTTTTATTTATTAGAATAGCGTAAACCACGAGTCTTTTGCCTTTATATCTCTGCATGCTTTGCACATCCTCCTTTGCAAAATGGCTCAGAATTGATGGGTAGCTCTTGTACATCAATTTGTCAAGTGTTGGATTTCTGCCTGGACTTGGACTGGGTCATTCAATCATGAATATGCTTTTATCCGAAGCATTCCTACAGCCGTGTCTGTATTGGGAGTCATTGTTCCAATGGAGGGTGAACCTCCATAAATAACCTGAATCTGCTTAGTTTTACGACGGGGATGGTGTTTTCAGGATGACCTGCAGTGCTGGTTTTCATGTAGGGTACAGCAGATGTCAAAAGAAAAAGAAAGTCATCCTCACCTATCCTGACTTGGCAGATTCGGAGATCTGGGAGGTTTGCTGTTGTGCCATGCTTTGCTTTTTGTTGTACTAACTTTGCTTTTAGTTGTGGATTGATTAAACCTCCATAAGACCTTCAAAGTGTCGGACATTGTAAACACAAACTGTGCCTGACCGTTACCTGCTAAGGGTAACGTTCTCTCTGGATCTCTCGCAGCCCGAATGTAGCTCAGTTTAGATAATGCAGTTTATTTTAAATACCTTCTTAAAATAAACAATTAATTAATGCGGATAATAGGTCATTTTAAGCCTTCTTCACTCAGACTTGCCATGACCATGGTCATGTGGTGGTTTAGTGGTTCTGATGATGGATTTAGAGACTGGAATAGATCAGATTTCCCACCAGCCAGTTACTGATAAAACCTGACTGCCATCATGCAGGTCCAGTTGCCTCTTTAACTCTTCTGACTTCACAGAAGAAGTAGCTGGTAAGCAATTATTGACACCCAGTGTGCAGAATTTAGTTGTCCATTTTGGCAATAAATCTGCCAGACACTAAACACAAATTTCCACTTGTGTAAATAGATGTTTGTCAGTAGATATACTTTGGTTTTGTGCAGTAGCTCTGCAGTGAGCCTCCGTATCACTGTTGTGTTCAGTACCTAAAGAGAAACATTTCTTACCATCATCCAGCTAGATCTACTAAAACAGATTTACGTCTTACATATTTGTCTTCCTGGCGCTTTTGAAACTCAGTGTTAGTTTGGATCAATGCAGTCGTTCAGCGACTGAACGTCTCTTGGCAGAGTTAATCTCACCTCCTGCTGCCGGCTATTTGCTGCTCTCTGCACCTGAATGTGCTGCTTAATGACATGAACAATTTGTCAAAGAAGAAGAAAAAAGAAACAGAAAGAAAGTCACACATGGTCCAGTATTTTTTTCTGAATATTGCTGTACTTTCCTCCATGTCGGCGGCAGTAAGTGAATGAACATCATGTGCCGCTGCTCCGACTCAGCCTCTGGCTGCATTCTGTTTGACTCAGAGAGGTTTCTGCAGATGAGCTCATGGCGGATAAGTGTGTGTGTGTGTGTGTGTGTGTGTGTGTGTGTGTGTGTGGACATGTTGGACTGGGAGTGAAACACAAAGGAGAGGTGTGGGTGTGATCAGTGTGTGGAGACAATGAGACAAAACGGCTTAAAGTCACGTTTCATTCAGCCAACGGTTTCTAGAAACTCAACATTGTTTTTGTTTTTTTTTAACCGATGGAGTTTGAATCTATAAATCTGGATTTCCTTTCACGTTTCAATAAGCATGCAAAATCAAACAGATATCAGCAGGTGCTGATGTCTGGCTTACATGTGCTATGCAAGCTGCCATGTTTTAGCTGTTGCACCTTCCTTTTATTTTTTATTAATTCATTAATTCAGTCACACCTTTAATGATGAAACGCAGAACGAAATCCAACCGCCCACCTCATCTGTTGGGTTGTCAGGTAATGGTGTGGAAACAGACTTGCATAATCTCACTGTCCTGACAAAGCCTGAAAAATAATTCCTTGAATTTTAGTTTATTCAGCAGGGAAGCAAGACACTGCTGATATATATTTTCCTCCTGAAACCGGCGCTCAGTTAGCTCCACCCTGACGATTTGCTCTTAAACGTACAATTTGAATCCGAATCTCAAAGAACCATTAAGCTGAAGTCGAATCCTTCTGCTTCGAGTTGCAGGCTGGTCATTGTTGTCTGTGCGCAAACAAGGAGCTGAACTGGTTTAGTCTGTGTAATCCAACCCAATACGTCTGCCCCCAGATATTTTAGCACAGTTTGTCATAAACTCTGCAGCTATGAGCAGCTGTACGTTTTAGATGTCGTCGCTCACATCTGTGGCTACTGATGTACACATTGCATCGTTTTGTGATTCTGCTGGAAACGTATAATGGACGCGGAACATCACCAGCGGTTTCACGAGTGGTTTCAGACCTGTGAGCGCTGGCTGCTCACTCTGTTGCTGCGTTGGTGGATAAGTGTTGCTCTCCTGACCCACCCGGGCGACGACTGCTGCCAGATTCGCCCGCAGTGTCAAGTGGTGAGTGTCTGTGTTTACGCCGGGTGTGGGTTGTCGTCTGAAATGGCCAACCGCGGTTAGAATCATGAGAAAACAGAGAATGTGGGTTTATGCTAGTCTTATGCAAGGTTTTGCGGATAAGCTCATCAGTGAGGAAGAAGAGTTTTTTCTCGTGTAAAACGGTAAATACAGTCGTCTGAAGCACATCCCACGTTCTAATTTTACACCGTCGGCTCCAACACAGATCCGTCTCGACCTCCAACAAGTTGTCACGCGGCTCAAGTTCAAACAGCCGTTAATTCCCACGGCACACTTATTGCCAACATTCATGAATCCTAATGAGTTGTCACGCGTGATGTTGGCGGCGTGTCGGCGAGAGGCGTCCTTATCGACGCAAGCGTCACATTTCAGGAGCGAGGCAGGTTTGCGTTTTACCGCTGCTAGCAGCAGATTCCTTACTTCATTAGCATCTCCAGCTCTCCATCATTTGGCCCCTTTTTCTCTCTCCACTGCTCATAAAAATAGAATTCATTTCCGAGCCCAGAGACCACCTTTCCGCCGTAAAAGTGATGAATCCTCGATCATGGTGCTAATTGTGTTATCTGCTATTTTATTTGCCCATAAAATCTTTTTTTTTTTTCTTAATTCTCCAGCTTCTTTTCCCCCCACACGTCCTGCTTCCTTTAGGGAAAGTTGCCAGAGGGCAAAATACTTTTACCATGTCTAACGAGAGGTGAAATGGGGAGAAATGGGGTGTCAAGTTTGGGTTTGGTGAAGGGAACTGATGGCGGGGGTTGCAGATTGACTTTGGCCTTTGCTAAATGATGAAAATGAACCCCAGCTTGCTTCTGAGACGTCAGGTACGAATAATGGAGCCTCTCTGGCCTGAGGTTGAAAATAAAACATTGCAGTAATTCTTCTGAGCGGGTAGATCTCGAATTGCAATATTTGTTATCCAGGTCACATTTGTAGTCTTTTAATTTATTTCAAACATTGAAGGTTAGCAGTGGAAAAGACGCGTCTATATATTGGGAAAAATATTAAAAGCTTTGACGTATTAACGCATTTTTCACATATTTTGACTTTCATGTGACGGAGCAACAAAGAGGAGCTTGAACCTGTGAAGTGGAGGAAATTAATACTGAGATTTCTCGCTTTACTGAAAAAAAAAAAGCACATCTCCACAGCATGATGCTACCACTGCCATGTCTCACATCATTATCTTCAGGATATAAACATGGTTTGAGTTTTTCACTACGCAGCATTTTGCAAAATGGTCAGTTTTCCTCTCATCTCATGAGAGGACCTTCTTCTCTGGTGGCAAACTGAAGATGGCGTCTGTTTCCTTAAATTAAATTACAACCTTAATTTACAGACACAAAGTAGTCCATAGCACTTAAAAACCAGAACTAAAACAAAAACCATAAAGCACATAAATACTTATTCCAGTGCTTATAAAACCTCGAGGTACATGTTGTGTCGTTCCAGTTGACAGGACTCTAACTTTGAAGTCGTTTGACGCATCGAAACGGTGCATAAATTTATACAAGAACGAGGCGCGAAAAGAAGGGACGTCGCTCATGACTAACATTTGACTTGCAGATGTCCGTCTCAGCAGCCTGAGCGCTGCGTCCTGATTGGTTACTTGCAGCTTCTTCCTTATTCTTCATTACAGCTTCACTGTAGTTACACCAGTAAGCTATGGCATATAAACAGGGACACTTTAGCATCACGTTAACATGTTAAATTTAAGTACCACTGCCAAAACATTAGCTTGCATCATCGCAGAGATCACTCCTTGGAATATGGCATAAATATTTCACTTTACTCTCCACGTCCTGAACTCCCTGATGTACCCGACTTTTCCGCCTGGTTCCTTGATTTTTGTGATGCTGTTTTTCTTGTGCAAATGTTCTCTAAAACATCTGAGGCCTTCACACAGATTAAATCACACACATTTGATGACAGTAAAATACTGCCTTCCTAAGTTACCTTGGATTTTATTTTGAAAGTTCCCCTCACATTTATGCTACTTTTCATCGGTCCATCTCGTCGAAGTTGCATTAAATTTTATGGCTTAACATGACATAACATAAAAATATTTTAAAATTGTAGAAATTACGATGTGTGGTTATGCATCATAAAGACAAAAAAAAAGAGTATGTGTCATTTTTCCACAGCTGCAATTATTCAAATGTCATCTCATGCAACGACTTCACAGATCCTTAAGACACACAAGTCCCATTTTTTTATGTTTTTAACTCAATAAAATGCTGCTATCAATTCATACGGAGGCAAATTAAATGGATAAAGGACAAAACACTGTGTGGCTGCATAATTTCCCTTCTAATACCCTTAATGAGAAAACTGATAGGAGCTATTTGGAAAATAAATAACCTGTTAAGTACGAGTTTCAGGTTGTTTCCAACCAAAGCATATTTAAACTCTTTTCTAACTGCTGCATGTCATCTGGTACGAGAGCGTGGACATCTGATTGACATCAATGCAAATGACGGGATGGAAACTAGGCTCACAAGCTGCCTTTGATTCGTCTATTCGTTGCACTAAACTTGCATCGACCTATTGTACTTCTCCGATGACTTCATGTAATTAAATCTGACTGCGTGCGACGTATTCAGTGAAGTCAGAGAACGTGGCCCGTTATGTGGTGGAAGGAAAACATGCAGGAGAAATCACACACAAGCTGTTAGTTCAGCAACAAACCATGCAGATCAACAAGCGAAGGAACAAACCGGAGTGAAGGAATGAACATCTTTACCGACTTGACAGGGGGATCAAGATACGTAAAAGTTTTTTAAAAATTTAGAATGATCCCATCTCTTTTTGTTCATTTTATGTGTGATTATTAAAACTAAAAGCACCAGCAAATTATTCCTACTCCTTAAACTCCGTCACACAGTTATCAAAACTCCAGCTACTCTTCTTCTGGAGAGAGAGTCTCCAGCAGCTCTTCACACCCGGACTCCTAAATTCATTAGCCGTTCTGAAAATTAGCCAAAGCTCAAGAAAGCATCTGAGAACTTGCACACCAAAGCAAGTGTCTCTGTTTGTTGTGCCTTAAAGCACTTATGCGGATTTTTTTTTCCTACTTTGCACTTTCTTAAAAACTATTCTTTCTGAGACTTATGTTCACTGTTTATATCCTGCATCAGTGTCAAATGTGTTTCTCTTCCAAGTCGCTGGTGTTTGCTTGTGCTATTTTTAGCCACAGCATGCTGTGCTGTGTCAGCGTTTATAATTAAATCCGTCTACTGCAATTAATTGGAAAATTGCTCATTTGGATTCTATTGTAAAACAGCATTGTGATTTCCTTCCCCTTAATTTTTTTTTCTTATTTAATCTGTTTATAATTATTAACAACATATGAAGAGATTTGTCTTTGAGTTTGTTTTCTTTTAACCTGATTTTTAAATCAACGCGATGCAAATTTATGCAGAAGCGATCTGCTCCCTGCCTGCTTTACAAATGACAGAAAATAAACGAGAGCCCCGACAGAAACACGGACTCCAGAGCCTCGCTTCGATTCATTCAGCTGGCGGCCGGCGGGCCATTCACGTTTTTCTGGAGCAGGAGGGAAGGAATTCGAGGCAGAGCCTGGTACTCTCCCAGGCTGTGTGTGTGTGTGTGTGTGTGTGGCTTTGTTCCAAAGCAACGTGAAGAAAGAAGAAATGAATTAAGAGAGGAGGGACAGGGAGGAGGGCGGCGGTTTTTGGTGAAGGTCAGCGGGTTAAGCCGACGGGGATTCTTGTAGATGGGGCCCCGCAGAAAGAGATGGTAACGCTCCAAGCTGTGAATCACCGGAAAGGCATCCGTCTCCTTCTGTGTGTGTGTGTGTGTTTACAATGACGTCATTCCATTAGTCCCCTTGCCTGACAGGCGCTGACAGACGGAGGTTGTGGAGGAGCAGTGTTTTCATTTCAGCCGGCAGATTGATGCACTGCAGCGGAGGAAGAAGAGGAGGAAGAGGGGAGGGGGCGGAGCCGCGCTCTGATTGGCAGGTGCCACGCTGCTCGCTGAGCTCTGGGTGGAAACTGGATTAGAGGTTGTCGTTGACGGTCTGCGTACCGTTCAGAAGCTGCAGTGACGTGATCAGAACATGGACACCCGGTCAGACACTCGTGCCGTTTCTTCTCGTCTTCCCGTTTGGTTTCATTTCAAAGACAGCCCATCCTGTGACGCAGCCGGTTTCCTCCTCCACTTCAGCCTGGAGGAGGTTAATTGAAGGGACCTGCCGTGGGAGATGGGAAGATGAGCTTTAACCGTCTGCATGGGTCAGAGCCCACCGCTCTGATGGCTGCAGGAGCCACGTGTGGCTTCACCACGCTAATGGATCCGTCTCAGACGCACCTCTAACCTACACTCTTAACGACGGTGACAAAAGTTTCACTTGTCGTTTTTCTTATTTATTTTTTTAATTCAGCCTAATGTATTCAAGCACGGCCGAAACGACTTCAGTCTGGTTTTTCTACTTTTCCTCCAATTCTTGGTCTCTTCAGGGTTGCAGCGAGATAAAAAGCGTTTTTGGAGGAGGAAGATGTGAAGCAGGACTTCAGATAACACACACACTAACTGAGACTGATAACGTCTGAGCAAATGGTTGGTTTAGAGCAGGGTGTCCAAAGTGTGGCCCCTCCTCGGGGCTCATTTCAAACTGATTTTGTGCAGCCCTCGAGTGAAATACAAAAATGGCACAAATTTGATTTTCCAACTCGATGTTGAAGACAAAAAAAGAAGTAAAATTTGCACAAATGTGATGCCTTTCATAAAGGAAACAGATGCATTCAAGTTTTTTTTTTTAAATTGGAAGATAGGATAGAAAGCCAGCCATAGTAAATAGTTCAGCAAACATCTGGTGACTTTTACTCTAGAGCAGTGGTGTCCAAATCATTTTCGTTTTGGGCCAAATCAAGATCATGAATGCTCTTAAAGGGCCGGTTGTGCCAGAATGTTTTGATAAAACCTGATCACAAACTGTTAAACTATCAGTGAATTCTTAAAACTAAATATTACTGAACATTTTTGCAATAAAAATCAAAGTGTTTGTGGTACTAATTTGGAAATATTTGCGCTTATTTATGACGATAAATACAACTTTTTATTATTCACTGCATAGATCATGGACCATGATCTGACATCTACTAAAGTTTTTGACAATGTTTGAGAAAAATCTAAACTAAACTCCCAATCATGTATTAGCGCAAAAAAAGTGCAGGGTTTTGTTGATTTTTGCATGAATTTCCACGATAATTCTCCAGAAATTTTAGGGACTTTTGATAGAATTTGGCAGTAAACAGATAAGAACTACATTTTTTTTAAATTGATAACAGGATATTTAAGCACACTTAATGTTTAGTGTAGAGGGCCACTTAAAAAGCTTTAGTGGGCCAGGTTTGGCCCATGGGCCTCGAGTTTGACACACGTGCTGTAGAGCACACCTTCGTAGTAAACTCAGCTAAAGAAAGCAATTATTTCTGAAGAAAGACAAAATAATCCAAAGATATTACAAATGTTAATTTTGAAACTGTGGTGTTTCTGTTTCAGAGAATCTCTTGTATTTTCTATGTTTTGGACTGGAAGCAAAAAAAAAAACATCCCCAGAAGATCCTGCTTGCTAGTGGATCTTAGTCTGTTTCTAAAATCATCAAATTGCATTTAAAATATGAAATTACAATCCTTAGAACAAAATGTCAGTCAGAATATGCTTAAGAGCAAGATGACTGGATATTCCCAGGTCATGGACATATTCGTCTTGCTCATTAGTTTGGGATCTGCAGTATTCAGTTTGGTATTTTTACTCGTTGGCAGCAATTTATGCAGATGCTAATCACCTTAAGTTTAATAATTTCCCCGGCTGCAAGGGGGGTTGATAAATTCTTTGGACTGTGCTACAAAGGAGACCAATGTGAGCTGTTTATGTGCTCCGCAAATTAAAAGCTGAGCATTTCATGCCCAGAAGAAGATTTTGTTCCATTCAGAAATACATTTAAAGTTTAAGCAGACTTTTACAAAGCAGAGGTTCTGACAATCTGCCTAGACAGATTTAGGCTGTTCTGCTGAGCTTTAATTAAAACCGAAGAAAGAGAGTAAGAGTGATATACCTGCAAGACACTGTGGGGGAGAACGAGTTAAGTACCTCAAGGCTGCACACACAGAATGTGTTGGAGAGGAAGTCCAGAACGAACAAGGTTCATTTATTTTGTGTTTTTATTGAAAAGCATTTGTTCTGTGCTTGAAGTTGACCCATCACTGCCGGGCGTCATTAATTTTGAAAGTTGTCTTTGACCACCTGGGAGAGTTATCTGCTTAGGTAAGACGTATAGGGAGGATGAGTTTTGTTGGCAAACCGGGTAGCCATGTGTGGAAACCCTCGAAATACAAACACCTTTTATTGTTTCTGTGTGCAATAATCTCACACAGAAAAATGTAGAAAAATACAACTTTTAATTTGACAAGAGACAGGAGCTCATACCATATTGTCACCACGACATCGTGACAATTTTAACAAATGTTTAAATAACATTTTATTTTTGTACAAGTTACTCACCCCAGCTTTAATGATCAGCGTCTTGCTGTTTCTGTGGATTGTACATTTGGCTCTGAGGTCCAGTTCTGGTCACAGTGCTGAACGAGGAGCCGTGTTTGTCTTGGCACCACATGAACAGGATGGATGGAGAGGTAAAACAAACATTTGGAGAAGTGAAACAAAGTGTGTCACGTTGGGTTGGCCAAATCTCCATAACAACCTTTAATATTCACCGAAATGCTAACTGGCTACTTAGGAGCAAAGCCAGTGAAAAGCTACGTCGTCAAATGTGAGCATGTGGCTTTGCTAAGCTGTGCTAGCACTTCGGTTAAATTACACTAAGATTTAGCTCTAAACTAATAATTGTGTCAAACTGTAAACACAAACAGCGAGATGATAATTATCAGAATAATAGTCGATAAAGCTACACTTTAAAGTTTAAGCTAACCCGCTCTGTCTGGGCCACTGAGGAGACGGGCGGGTGGACCGAGGCCAGCCTCACACACAGCGTGGGCCCTCTGGCACCTTTTCATGCCCAGTTCAGGCCAAACCAGCACCATCTCTCAACCCACTTAACGGGATCCAGCGCAGCTCCTGCGGCCAGCAACCCTGTGCGTGCGCATCAGCATGTTTGCACTGCAGCTGCTGCCGCCTGCATCCATAATTAAGCCCAGCACCTACTGTAACGATCAACAGGAAAATAATTGGCTCGTCGAGGCTGACCGTGGAAGAGGGCAGAGGAGGTGAGTGCTGCAAACTTTTCCCAGAAAGGGGGGGAAGAAGAAGGAAGCCATTTACATGCTAATGCCGTCCTCAGCCCTTCAGCTGCCTCGTTGCGCGCCTCGCCCTCTCCCCTCAAATGGGCTCCTTGCTGGCAAGCCAATCACAACGTGTACACAATAAACAAACAGCGCGGAGGTTAAAGTCTTTTCAGGCGTCGTCTTTAGCCTTCCTGAGGCGCTAGCGAAAGTCGGTCGTTGCGTAACTTTTCGAAGTGCCTCGGGGAAGTCCGCGCCGCCGCTTCTCGGCCTCTTTCTCACCTCTTTTGTCATCTTGTGTTTGTTTCCTAGGCGACAGAGTGGGCACCGGATGAGGAAACCAGGAAGTCGTGTCAGAGCAAAGGCAAAACAGAGGTAACCTCAATCACGCCCCCAATTACAGCGCTCCGTGTCAGCATGGCTCGCGTACAGCGGGGCCATTTTTTGATATCTTCTGCCTCGGTGCTTGTTAGTCTCTCGGGAGGTTCCTCGGCAGAGGAGCGCCATTTCGAAACCTTCAATCAAAAGTTGTTTTGCTCGACTTTATAAGAGAGGGAACTCAGATGGGAAGGGGAGGGAAATGTCTAAGAAAGCGCCCATGGGGACATGTTGGGACACTTAGAGAGGACGTCCTTTGAAAAATGCCCGAGAGCAGCTGCTGAGTTCAGTTGCCTCCTTCGCATTGTTTTGTAGGAACTGATTGCAAAATCATATGCGTCTCCCACTGAGCCCGTAAGGCGAAGATTGAAGCCAGATGCACAAAACTATTTTCTTTGCTCAATTACCTCACTTCTCTGCAGCGAAAGGCCTATAAATCAATGCCTCGCTTTTGTTGGAAAAGAATTTGATTCTTTGTGCCGAACAACATGCAGTTGACTTGGAGTCTTTGTCGATGCCACAAATAAACTGCCATTTTCTTCCAAACTAGCATTCATATGTCTCAACAATGGACCCGCAGGCGAAAGCTGCAAACGCCACGTTCCAGGAAACCCGCTGCATTGTTCTCCTTAGCAACACGTCCCATAGCATCCAGTGAACCGATGCAGATTTCATCCCGCTGTTACCGTTTTTAGACGTTCATTTTCATCTCTCTTTTTAGATGGAGTGCCAGAATTACATCAGAGTCCTGCTGGTGAACAAGACCGAGGTCATGACCTGCGGGACCAATGCTTTCCAGCCGCTATGCATCAGCAGAGAGGTAGAGCGAGGAAGTAGCTCTGTATGAAGTCGGTGACATCACTTCCTCCTCCCTCCTGTTGGCACTCGGCTTGCTCCTCGGTCCTTTGTTTCTTTTCCAGGTGGGCAACATCAGCAGAGTGCTGGAGCGCGTAAACGGCGTGGCGCGCTGCCCGTACGACCCTCGCCACAACTCCACGGCGGTGGTAACCGAAAGCGGGGAGCTCTACGCCGCCACCGTCATCGACTTCTCGGGTCGCGACCCCGTCATCTACAGGAGCCTGGGCGGCATGCCGCCGCTGCGCACTGCCCAGTACAACTCCAAGTGGCTCAACGGTAAGACCATTACTATGAAAGTGTCTTTCAGAAGTATTCATACACCTTAAATATTAAACAGCAAAGTTTTTTTTTGTTTGTTTTAACATGACTAAACTTACATGAACACAAAGATGAAATAAATTTAAATACTATAGAACTAGAACAGAGAATCACACAAATTCTTGACAATTTCCCACAGTTATGTTTTTTTCCATTTAATCTAAACAACAAACTTCAGTATATTTTATTTGGCTCAGAAAAAAGTAGTCTAGTGATGTGGCAGGAAACGGGTACATTGTTTTTAGCATCTTTTTACAAATATCTGGGAAGTGTGGCAGGCATATGTTTTGTTTCTTTCTTTCACTCCGATGACCCTAAATGCAAACCAGTTCAACAATGTCTCCTTTATTAGTGAATATAGTCTAAACAACATCATCCAGACCAAGAAAACACACCAGCAAGGACATTTCAATAAACTAGAATATTATTGAAAAGTTCATTTTCACTCAGTTCTCTAGGTGGAAAAAAGAAAAAAATAATCTAAATTGAAATTGCTAGCTGGTCCGGTGGTATTATCTCCGCCAGTATTTCACAGACTCAATGTTTAGTGATTGTCTTTTACACCCCGACAGAAATGTAATCTCTGCAGACATATCATCTGATACTTTCCAAAGCCTGCTGGATTCCCGGTAATCCGCACCAGTTGTTTCAACAAACCTCTGGAAATTCCTGCCGTTCCTTCAAACATTTTCCCTGGCCTCTTCGGCGCGGCGGACGAGGCCAAGTCCGCACTTTCACTTCCAAAACAATTGTGTCTCGTTGCGGCGGAGGCGGACCTGTCCGATAGGGGTGTTTGCGAAAGGATTAGAGAGACTGTTTTGGGCTCAGGTTAGGTACGGGACTCAGTGGGATTTATGAAATGGAAGAAACATGGAATGCTGTCTGTCCTTCAGGGGTTCGTGTCAATAATCTCTCTGCTGCTGACGCCGGGTCTTTTCCTGGGACAACACACTGCAGCAGCAGAAATTTGTGCTCACACATGTCCTGAATTCAGCAGAAATGTAGATGTGAGTCTGATTCCTGTCCAGTTTTCCTTCACACATTCTGCAGTAACACAAAGATGCCTGTACAGTAAGTATGCAGGTGGTTGCTATGCTGTATTTTCCTCTGTCTTGTTTGCTCACTTTACTTGGAAATCACCTAAAACTCCTCAGAAAACAACGTGGACCATGCAGCAAGACTGATGCGTGGCATTATCACTCTGCTTTCATCATGGTTTAAAACATGAATTAACAAAAAAATACTTGATTAGCAATACCCCCTTCACACAACTGTATGTCTATTTTTTGTGTGTGTTTTAATTGCATGTCTTTTGAATAAATCAAATTCCATCATCCCTTCTTCATAGGAATGAAACTGCAGCATTAATGTTTTGACCCATGCAGCCGCAGATTGTTTTAGAAACTTTATGGACATCAGATGAATCAAAATCAAAATTTCTGTTAGTGCTACTTACATTTTGTGACAATGTTATATCTTCATCTCATGCTGTGCTATGCAGACTCTCAGTCTGTCTGATGAAGCCTCACTGACCTTAGCATGCTAAACGCTTGGCGTAGTTGAATGACAGCCTGTCCTATTTTTGAGTTAATTAGGCTCATAATTAGAAACATTTTCCACCAATCCTGATTCGGCGACTCGTTGGTGAAAGTGCTTGATGATTTTTATCAATCTGATGAATTTTATCAGATTTTTATCATGATTTTTATCAATAACAAAAAGAAAAAAGTAAAAACTGTTAAAACGCTTTAACAGTTTTTAAAAAATCACCAGGTTGTGATAATGAATGAAGCTGTGAAAGTTGTGCTAAACTCCTGTTTTTCAGTGCTGCTGGTGCAGATGAAAGATCACCTGATTAGGATTGTCAAGGATTAAAAATCACACTATTTTATTAATAGTGTTAATAAAATAGGTAGCTGACGTCGTTTCACAGAGATCTATGAACATAGATGCTGCCGACTCGCTTCAGTAATCACTAAAGTAAGCCACAAAAAAGTTTTCAAACTACTCTGTTTTGTTTTTTTAAAAAAAAAAGTAAATTTAGCTACAAAGATTGTTTGCTCTTATTTGTTGGTTTATTTGCTTTATTTTTCTAAATTCAGGACCACGGAGAGCACATTGTCAGTTAGGCAACTGTCATATGGGCTGATGAAAATATTTCTGAAGGTTGGGGTAGAGTTGCATGAAGGTCTTCGGCATTTTTAGCTTCATTGACAGGGTACGCTTTATCTGGTTCAGGCAGAAAAAGATGGCAGCTGGAGCCAAGGAGGCGACAGCAAGTATCACATCAGCAGAGTTTAAAGACCAAAACCGGTTCCAGAGTGGTTTGGGTGGAACCACTGAAAATATATCTTCCACATCCTGTATAGGATGGAGGAGGATATAGAAGTTGATGTCCAATGCATCAGTCATTTTAAAAAAATTACCTTTTTCACTCGAGTTTTAGACTGTGAGGGCAAATCACGACTCTTAAATCTCTGGACCCTCTTGACAAAGCTTGGCTCTCCGCTTCCATAGCTGGAAAAAGTGAAGCTTCACAGTCGCAACTAAAGATGGATGACAGGAGAGGCTGTGAGTTTGTGCGCTTATCGCAGAGGATGGATGGCGGCGCTGGATGCAGAGACGACAGACCGGGGAGTCAGTGAGCGATATAATTATTCTTCGCCCCACAGAGAGGGTGAAATTACGGCACACAGCATGCGTCGCCCCACGCAGGGCCTCACCATGCAGGTGAGAGTTTGTCACCGAGTATTTAGACGGTAATCAGGCGGCGTGTGGGTAGCAGCTGCGTGCGCGTGGCTTTAAAACCGCACGCACGAGCGGAAAGAAAGAAAGTACGTGAAATGATTCGAGACGGAGGAACATGAGCAACAACGTAGATAACGTCCCAATCAGCGTAACCGTGGCTGGATAGGCAGACAGTTAAACGCACATGTTGGCCTCCATCCGAGCGCGCAAAGCCTGTTTTTTTATTTTTTTTATTTTTTTTGCTTTTGTGCTGGATGCGGCGTCTGTACGGATACAGGGTTCCCAGTGGATTTCAGGGTGTGAATGAAAATCTAATTTCCAGCTCTAAGCTCTGGCTGGTTCAGGAGAACCGCAGCGGGTAGGGAGGCCAGGGGGGGAATCCTAGATCTAATCTATTCGTTCCCTTATTGGATTGGTAGTCTGCCAGGTGCTGACCGACTGTTTTCTGTCAGACAGCTGAATGTCACAAAGAACTTTGGGGCCTGCCGTCAAAAACAATGTACTTTTTTTTTGGGCAACACTTCAAAAGATGCATAAACAGGTTTAAAATTAGTGATGGGGCTACATTAAATTGCAGGACCTGTAATTATTAATTCACTGAATTTAATCAAAAACCATGCATTGACAAAATAACAATTTCTTGCTTCTGAATTATTGAATAAACAGACATATATGTTTAATTGTTTTTTACCTGTTATTCAAGTTATTCAGCCTCCAAATTAGCAGAAAATGCTATTATTATTATTATACCAGTTCAGCTTTTAATTATTTGAGGACTCTCTGATTGTTCATGCAACATTAAAAAAATCCCCTTATTTATAAATGCGACTGTGGACGATGAAGTTGGCGTTGGGGTCGTCTGTGCATGCTGCAGCATGTGTGGCTTTGAGACGCTGTTTCAGTCTTGAGTAGCTTTAGTGATAGTTGATGAACAACTTGAACACAACAGTCTTTTCCAGCGACCCATCAGATCGTTTACTTTGGGGGTTGGGAGGGGGGTTCCAAGCAAAAATCAACCCCTAGTAGACGAAGAGAATCAGTTTTTTCTTTTTTTTTTTTTAAATCCATCATTGCTGTTGATGTCGCTTGTGTGTCAGATTTATGGCCGTACCAGAAACACGTGAAAGCAAAGGTTCCGGCTCCAGACATTTGTATGTAAAAATCAAATGCAGTTAATTGTGTCACAGTTTTGTTTTTTTGTCACACATTAAAGTAATAAAATAATAGAAATTAACACTTTAAAACAAACGTAAAAATAAAATAAAGTAATGCCTCACATTTCAAAACAAACAATTTTATTTAATTCAAGCACATTTACTAAAATGTGGGTGGAATAACTTCCTGTGTGAAAAAAAAAATGCTTTTACCAAAAATTGCTGTTGGGTCCAACTATTTGCTCCTCATATCTTACACCCACTTTAGCTTTCAGGACAGCCCAAAGTTTGTGCCGCTATCATGTTAAAGATATAAAGAAATGTTTCTAGAGGTCATCAAAGGTCAACCAGCCCCCCTCCCACTGTCTTCAAATCAGACAAAAAGGGGGTCACAAACGTAGCACAAACGTTTGACACCAATTTTGTCTGATTTGAAGACGGTGGGAGGGCCAACTGCACTCAGGTTACTAAATGCCATGCTCTCGATCAAGTGTTTCGGCACCTTTGGAAAAGAGATTTGCTAGTATATCCTTCACCGTAGTTAAGAGTGATCATAGGACGGTTCTCCACCTGAAAGTGGAGTGATTGTTGCTATAAAGCTGCATTTCAAGCCCAGCTTGGATGCAGATGCACCGACACATAAATGGTTTATATATCCAGATTTGAGAAAATTAGAGTGGATTTTGTGGAGCATGAAGCCTTTCATGTCATTGAAGTAAATACATTTCTCTTAATGTGTTGCTGTTCTGAATAGTGTGTGTGTTTTGGGATCAAAGGTGTAGATTTAGGATGGGCCTTTTCGCTTTTGCCCCGATGTTACTGTCTTTTTTTACACTAAAGGATCAGATTAGAGCCTGAGAACGACATTATAATGTGCCACACGTGTCTGAAAGTGGTCAGACAAGTATTGGATGAAATCATAAAAAATTTGGTAAATCATCTTAGTTTCAAGCACACAGCATGCCAGGGTGAGTCAGCATTCATCAGTGCAGGCAGCACAGCAGCACATTAGACATTCATTCCTTGCTGATTGAAGATTTCATTATTAAAGTTAAA